TATATATATATATATATATATATATATGTCTGTGAGTGTATGTGTATTCACACGCACACACACGCACACACTCTTGGAAAAAACCAAATGTATCCAATAATAAAAAAATACAGCACATGAAAGTAGTATAATGCATTCCAGTGTATAGTTAGAGACATTGGGTTTTTGATTTAAACTCTAACCCCTACCCTTTGAGAATTGACCTAAAATTTTCTTCTTTTTTTAAAATTCACATCAACCAGTACATTACAGATAGATGGATTTAAAAGGGTAAACTTTGATTCCCAAGGCATGAAGAGACCGGAGAGTTTAACGTGATCTGTATTTATGAAAGAGGCATGTTCAACCATGGGTGGTTCTTGCACATTATTTCTTTCTTTTTAATCCCTGCCATCTGCCATCTCTGCAATTTTTAAGAATGGTCCTCCTTTGCATTTTGTTTTCAGGTGTGGACATAGCAAAGGTTACTTGAAAGTTTGGAGGTTACATCTTGATTCTTTTCCATAAGTGCTCAACTGTCAAGTTTTCCTTTCATTAGCTTCGCATTCCATAAGCCTGCCCTTCTAAATGTATCTTTTAATGATACATTCTGGATTAATGTTCAGGGAGGAAGAAAGAAATATAGGAACAGCATGGTTCTTACTCAAGAGAAAAAAACAAACCAACCTTCTACACAGAAAGTTCATCCCTAGAGTCCTTATTTGTTTCTAATTTTGTGTTCTAGCTGCAAAGGCAACTGACTGTAAGGTAAGCCAGCAATGGTGCTTCTTGTAATTGAGTCCCAGCACCTATGTGTGAAAAAATCTTCTCTTCCTCATTTGAAAATGGTAAGAAAACTCCAAGGTTCTCCCAAATTTCACCACAAGATTTTTCTTCCTGTTCTTGGGGCAGGAGGTGCTCTTTACTCATCTAGCTTCGCTTCCTTAGTAGCCCACTCATTCTGATGCATCTTCACTGTCTTAGAAGAATGGAAGAGCTAGAATGCCACTGGATATATTACACCCTGTATTTCCAAGATCAGTCCGCTTTTTTCAGGAATATCTAAAAGTACATGAATAACAAAAGAAAACTGATCAGAATTCAGTCAATCAGCATTTGGGCTTATAAATTATCTTTCTTACAAAAGCGTAAGTTGTATAACAAAACTACTGTCCAAACTAGAGGTTATCTCTTTCTATATGATATGGAAGGATGTCATTGTCTGATGTGGTTACCGTAAACCCTAAAATAGATCCAAACACTGTTTGCAGAACACGCTGAATCATAAACTATGATTACAAGCCACAGTGGTTGTGTTCACGTAACCACCCAAATGAAACACACAATGGCTTAATATGAGGCCCTGATTT